TTAGTTTAACTACGTAAGAGTTATCTTCTAATTCATTCTAAAAAGCGGGAATTTCACCGTTCTGAACTTCTAAAAATTTCTTTTGGAAATAAACATTTACTAAAAAGATGCAATGGTTTTTGAAAAACATTTATTCTGAACTGTGCACCACAATTTCAAAACATTTTCTGAAAGATGTAACAGTGTACATGTTCTCACTTTCATTAGAGTTTTGTTTATCAAAAGGTCTGACATAGGTGAGCTGGTAAATACAAATAACAGCATTCTCATCACTTATTTCTTCAATACAATATGCATGTCCTTCATTCATCCCTTTGTGGAACTTCAACGCACTTCTGCTCTCCCCCATATTCCATCTTCACAAGCATATCCTGTGTGGAGATTGAATAAAAATTAGTTGACACTAATTAATGGCACTAATAATCCAGTAAACAATTGCAGCACAGTAAAAAAAAAGAAAAAAAAAAGGAATCCTCTTTGAGCCATTACTTGTGTAAAGTATTTTCCCAAAAGACAAAGACACAGGCAACAGGTAATACTGAACTAAATGTAAAACCTCAACCTTTTTCATTTTTACCTAAACCGTGTGCACAAAACTCTGGAGGGATCTATGCTAACGTAGAATCCAGTCAGGACGTCTGCTACTGCTGTTTGCTCGGTTTTTTTAATTTTTATGGGCGATCGTTTTCAGGCTTCAAGTAGCACCATTATACCAACATTTCACATTCTAGACATTGTTTTAGGTGTATTTGACCAAAAGTTTGACTGAAAATTCACATGCAAGCTTTTTTTCAAGGCTGTGGTATTTGCCTGCAAACAATACCTTTCAGCTAGCTAAAACAGAATATTATGCTATCACCGAGCAACGTGGCTAATGCCTTTCACACAGCTTTGTCTCAACTCCAAAGAGCCACAGAAGTAAAAGCTCATAATAATAATTGAAACAATCTTTGAAAAAATGACTTACCAAGCATGGCAAACAACTCAAATATGTAGAGCAAAAAGTTCTGAAACGGCTTCACTTCAGCTTCGATTGGAGCCGTGCTGGGGGCGGAGTCTGTGAATTTACTCTGTTGGTGTCATAGCCCTTCTAGGAGTTCAGAGTTAAGAGGTCAAGAGTTAATGTTTCCATTGTAACACCTCCAGATTTGACAGAGAAACACTCGTTTTTAACACTCGATTTTAACTACTATCATTTTACACCTCAGAGTTACATTAAAAGAATGTGACTCTGCTTAGGGTAAAATTAACTCTACTTTTGCAAGAAGACTATTAACACCAAAACATTTAACACTTTTGAATTTGCTGTGTATAGAGTTACAGAATATTATATATATATATATATTATATATATATATATATATATATATATATATATATATATACACACACACACACACACACACACACATATATATATATAAATACAGAGACAATATAAATAAAATATACGAAGGGGATAAATAGAATAAATAGGAATAAAAAATAAAAATACAAGTGAATTGCACATTTCAAGTATTGAGGTCTATTGCACTGTTGACTATTTACAAAAGTATTACACAAAAGGTATTGCACAGTGAGGTGAAGAGGCACTACAGCTTAGTTGTTCCCCCCTCCTTTGTCCTCCTGTTTCCCCTCCCTCTCCCCCTCAGAGAGGAGTTAAACAGTCTGATGGCGTGTGGGACAAAGGAGTTTTTAAGTCTGTTAGTTCTTGTCTTTGGGAGAAGCAACCTGTCACTGAACAGACTCTTCTGGTTGTTAATGGCCGTGTGCAGAGGATGCCTGGCATTGTCCATAATGTCCATCAGTTTCTTTAATGTCCTTTTCTCTGCCACTGTCAGCAGAGTGTCCAGCTTCATGCCGACCACAGAGCTAGCCCTCCTGATCAGTTTCTCCAGCCTGGATGAGTCCTTCTTTGCTGTGCTGCTCCCCCAGCACACCACAGCATAGAAAAGTACTCCAGCAACCACCGACTGGTAAAACATCCTCAGGAGCTTCCTGCAGATGTTAAAAGACCTCAGCCTCCTGAGGAAGTACAGTCGGCTTTGGGCTTTTTTATACAGGTGCTCTGTGTTGCATGACCAGTCCAGTTTATTGTCCACCCACAGCCCGAGGTACTTGTACTTGTTGACCACCTCCACCTCCTCCCCCTCTATCTGAACCGGCAGTGGACCTGCTCTAGACCTCCCGAAGTCCACAACCAGTTCCTTAGTCTTTGAGGTGTTGAGTTGCAGGTGGTTTGTGTGACTCCATGCGACAAAGTTCCTCACTAGACTTCTGTACTCCTCTTCCTGATCATCCCAGATACACCCCATGATGGCTGTGTCGTCTGCAAACTTCTGAATGTGGCATAATTCAGAGTTGTAGCAGAAGTCAGAGGTGTACAGGGTGAAGAGAAGAGGGGGCAGCACAGTTCCCTGTGGTGCTCCTGTGCTGCTGACCACTGTGTCAGACGTGATGTCCTTCAGCCTGACGTACTGTGGTCTGTCGGTGAGGTAGTCGGAGATCCAAGCGACCAGGCAGGGGTCCACCTGCATCCTGTTCAGTTTTTCCTGAAGCAGACAGGGCCGGATGGTATTAAAGGCACTGGAAAAGTCAAGAAACAGGATCCTGACCGTGCCTTTTCCCCCATCCAGGTGTGAGTGGGCTCTGTGTAGGAGGTACAGGATGGCATCCTCCACTCGACACCCGCCTTGTATGCAAACTGTAGTGGGTCCTGGGCATGTTGTACCTGTGGTCGGAGGAGGTTGAGGAAGAGCCGCTCTAGAGTCTTCATAAGATGTGACGTCAGTGCCACTGGTCGGAAGTCATTCAGCTCATTGGGCCGGTTCTTTTTGGGGACCGGGACAATGCAGGATGTCTTCCATAGGGCGGGCACTCTCCCCAGTCGCAGACTGAGGTTGAAGACTCGTTGTAGTGGCTCCCCAAGTTCAGCAGCACACGCCTTTAGCATCCTAGGACACACCTTGTCTGGGCCTGCTGCCTTTCTGGGGCGAAGCTTCCTCAGTTGTCTCCTGACCTGATCCACTGTGACACAGGGAGATGTTTGGGAGGAGGGGAGGGGGGGAGATGTCTTGCTGCTGAGAGAGGGATTGGAGGAGGGGGGTGTCATGGTGTCAGGAAGGGGGGGAAGCGAGGGAGGTAGGAGAGTGGGGATTGGACTCTGTAGTAAAGGTGAGGGTGAGGGTGGGGGGTTGTGGGCTGGTCAAACCTGTTGAAGAAGTTGTTGAGTTCGTTTGCCTTCTCCACAGTCCCCCCCACTGTGCTTTTCTTGGTGTTGTGGCCTGTGATGGTTTTCACACCATTCCAGACCTCCCTCATATTGTTCCTCTCCAACTTCTGCTCCACCTTCCTCCTGTAGGTGTCCTTTGCTTCCCTCAGGCAGCGTTTCACCTCCCGCTGTGCTGCTTTCATCTCCTCCTTCACTTTGCTCCTGAAAGCCTTCTTCTTCATGTTGAGGACAGCTTTGACTTCCTGTGTTACCCACTGTTTGTTATTAGGATAACACCGTACCGTCTTAGCAGGGGCGACCGTGTCCACACAAAAGTTGAGGTTGTCTGTAAGACAGTGTGTCGCCCCCTCTATGTCCTCACCATGTGGGCTCAGGAGCACATCCCAGTCTGTGGTGTCATAACAGTCCCTCAGAGCATCCTCCTTTTCTGGGGTCCATCTCCGGATGGAGCGCGTTGTGACAGGCTGCCTTTGGACGAGGGGTGTGTATTGTGGCTGTAGGTAAACCAGGTTGTGGTCTGACTTCCCTAGTGGGGGGAGGGGGGTGGCTCTGTATGCATCTCTCACATTAGCATACAGTAGGTCAATTGTCCTGTTGCTCCTTGTGGGTGTGTGCGCATACCTGTGTGTATGTGTGTGCACATGAGTGAGTGTGCGTGTGGATGTGTGTGCATGACCGTTAAAACACTGTGGGTGTAGGTGACTCCCTAGAGGTCATAAAACCCCTCTCACTTCCAGACCATAGTTACAAATGTTGAGACCCCCACCCTAAAACTTCCTCTGGGGAATTTCCACTCAGTGGGGGAGGTCTACAATCTACTCCTACAATCAGCCTTTATTATAGTGAGGGCAGTGTCAGTGTCTCTACAACAGTTCTACATTATATTTTAACACATTTCTAAACTCTAAATCAGCTAAATATTCTACAGTCCCAACTTGCAGATCCCCATATAGGCTTGCTCGGAGTTAATTACAACTGACACACACAGAAAGGGGACAAGACAAAGTGGTCTGGGTCTGAGACAAGCTGCACCCATAAAAGGTTGCTCCCTTACCTGGACACCCAACCCAACTTTCACAAGTCTTAAAAACATGCGAATGATTGTGCAGATGGCTCCCCTTGTCATAAAATACTGTTATTTGTCTATCAATAGTCAATGTATGCACTTGTTTAAAAAGAGCTATCTTTATCCTCAGTATAACACGGAAGCTCAAAAATTGAAATGACTCCATATTAACAGATGAGGAAAACTATTATCATTTATGAATCCTAACTTCCCCATCATGTTTCCACAGTGGACAACAATTTTCTTTGAAATATCAGCACTTTTATTGAGCGCTACTCAAAATATGACACCATAAAGACTGTTGTGACTTTGTGCGCAGTTAACAGTATGAGGGTAAGTTTCTGTTCGCAGTTCCTTATTGAGATCAACCACAAGGAAGCGATAAATATCACAACTTTCTGAGACAGTGCTAAGACACAAGAAGGAGATCCACTCTGCTGTGAAAGCAATCAGCGGAGGAACCTAAACAGTGATTTTACTTAAAACCTTAAAAAGACTGGAAATTCTTAAAATAAAACAACACAAATATTATTTATTCAAAGTAGCAGTTCACAACTTTACCTGTGATCATAAACAAAAACGTCTCATCTTTTATTTGCCCATAATAAAGGCACACAAGCGGCCACAAGCATGAACAGATAAATAGCAGCTGATATGCAGCAATTACCTCCAATAAACATGTAAGAGAGGCAAATGCTCTTGATTGACGTACCTTTGACAAGCAGCACAGCATGACCGTTAATAAGGAAGTAACAGGCGGGGCAAAGGTCTCTGTAGTTGTACAAGGCCAGAAAGGAAAAGCAGTTATTTACTTAGTCATTTGCCAATATGAAAAGGGACCAGAGGTTACGAGAGGAGGATGTAGCTAAGAATTAAAAGTCAACAACTTTGAATTAAAGTTATCATAGTGCATGTCAGAGAAATTCTTTGCCAAGCTTAAGTGTGGTTTTTGTCAACATACCAGCAGAGGTGCTGAAAATAGCAGCTACAAGGTTATCCGGGGAAAACAAAGGAATTGAACAAGTTCAAAGTATGTGTGCCAGTTAGGAGTCCTGAAGACGATGAAGCTTTTATCCCTTATCTCAGACCACTTGTTGCTCTGTGTCTTCCTGAGTCTACTCTGGGTAAGTTTTTTTTACCTTTCACTTTGATGGTGATCAGATAGCGAAGCTCAGTGTAGGTTACCCTCGACAAAAGGAAGCAGTGCAGTCAAAACCACAGTGAAGCCTAAATGCATGACATGCTTCATTATGTATTCAAAACACTATAGTTATGTTTTGTGAAATACTGGTTTGTACAGAAATACAAGAACAACAAAATCTTGTTAAATGGCATGAAAATTCTGGACTTTTCCAGATTTTGAAACATGAATTTATTCCTTCTTTGCGACACCGATCTGTTTCCTCTGAGAACAAAAAGAGGATGAAAGAAGAAAATTCAACAATATCTTAAACACTTACACGATACAGACTTAATGATTGAATCAAATCAGATGTGGAATTTTAAAGAGTGTGTCCGAGGAGAAATGTGTTAGATATTTCATAGGCCAGTAAATGTAAGTAACTGTAGCTATAATATACAATATAATAATACATATGATTTGCATTTTTAGTAAAAGCAAACACTTAATTAATAGATTTTTTGCCAGCTCTGTGATTTTTATGTTATAGATGTTGCTAGTTGTAGAAGCTGACACATAAAATGCTAAAATAATTTGAAACTGACTTATTTGTTTCCTGCACATCATTTTTTTTTTTTTTTAGTGAAAGTTTTTGTTCTTATAAAGCAGAAAGCTCAGAGGATATCTCGAAGTATTACTGTTCACATAATGTTTGTGATATAATGTAGATGTGAAATTAAAAGCAGCAAACATCGCTCTGTGACTCTGCCACAGACTCGTGTTAACTGGGTATTCAATGGTGATTTTTTTTCACAGATTTTAGATTCTGTATTTTTCACTCTTTTTCTGCTTTTAGGGCACAACTGACTCCAATACAACAATCACATCAACAGTGACGACGACAGTGAAAGCAGGACAGAAAAGTACAGCAAAAACAGAAACAAGCACAAGACTAAGAACCAATCTGCTGACAGGTACAACACAAAAAACCTCTCCACTAACTCAAACAACACAAACATTTACTCCACTGGCTCAAACAAATCCCACTCCACAGACTTCAACAGTGCAAACAACATCTACAACAGCAAAAGCCCGTAAGAATGAAACACTATACTAGACTTTTGTTGGTGATCGGTAAAACTGAAGTGAATGTCATTCTGGGTTTTTATTGTGGTAAAAGGTGAACACCACTCTCAAATCATCACAGCTCCTGACAATGTAACAAAAAAGGAGTGAAAGCAGTATAGTCAGTGCTTCAGTTCTTGTTCTTTTTTAAACTTTTTTTGAACTACAACCACTGTGTGTCTTTTCTTTTTCAGCTCCAGATAATGTTGACAGAGTGGATGTGACCACACAAAATGAGAACAGTATAACTCTGACCTGGAACAAGGTTAAGAACATCCCAACATACATCCTGCAATATGGTAATATAAGAGAAGATATTATTAAAACTGAAGAAGGACCCATAGTACATGTGGTCACTTCTCTGACTGCTGGGACAAACTACATATTCACTCTCTTCACCACGTCTGATGGACTCAACAGCAGTGGATACAGATTCAGTGCTGTGACAGGTTAGTGAGCACTGAATAAAACATTCAGTCTAATTAAAACATAAACAAAATACAAGATGTTGTTGGGAACATTGTTTTAGTTTCTTTTGTGTGTGTTTTTCTATTCTAGCTCCTCGTAATGCTGAAGAATTCGAGGCCGTTGGTCAAAATGAGACCAGCATAACTCTGGAGTGGAAAACAGTCCCCAACATCGACAAATACATTCTTGCATTTAATGAAAGAGAGATCAACATTAGTAATTCTGAAAACGAATACAGAGTGTTAAATTTGACCAGTGGAACCAGATACAATGTCACTCTCTTCACTGTGTTTGGAAATGTCAGAAGCAGTGGAGTAAACTGCATCGCAGTCACTGGTAAGATATATTTTCTCTAACATAGACAGATAAACCAGGATGGACCGGCTCATTAGTACTTGAAACGTTAGCTGATGGAGAGTTGATGTTTTTTGTGTGTGTGTGTGTTTTTTTTAATCAAAGCCACTTTCCTCTGTTATCTTTAGCTCCACAAAGTGTTAATAATGTGACTGTGGTGCATCAAAATGAGATGAGTATACCACTGGAGTGGAACAAGGTTAAAAACATCCCAGAATACATCCTACAGAATAATAACATAAACATTTGTCAAATTTTCCAATTTGAATATGTCAAGTACTAACCCGACCTATAATCCTAGACTGCTTACTGCTAACCTGGTGGAGGCTAACAGATTAAAAACATCTAAAACAGTCATAGTCCTTTAAAATGTTCCACAGTTGATGCTCCTCTACAACATGAACAAGGGCAGAGCTCTATAATGATGTTTAAGGTTTCTCAGAAACAGAAGAGTGTAGCTCACCTAATATTTTTCAAAAGGACTGATAAAAATACTGAAACTGAAGCCTCGCTCCATGTTTCTGTGTCTGACAGAAAATGTTGTTACAGTTTCTTGTTTGTGCGTTTTTCTATTCTAGCTCCTCGTAATGCTGACGACTTTAAGAAAAATGGACAAGATGAGACCAGCATAAATCTGGGGTGGAAAACAGTCCCCAACATCGACAAATACATTCTTGCGTTTAATGGGAGCAAGATCAATATTAGTAATTCTGAAAAAGAATACAGAGTGTTAAATTTGACCAGTGGAACCAGATACAATTTCACTCTCTTCACTGTGTTTGATAATGTCAGAAGCAGTGGAGTAAACTGCATCGCAGTTACTGGTGAGATGTAATTTCTCTAACATAGATAGATAAACCAGGATGGACCGGCTCATTAGTACTTGAAACTTTAGCTGATGGAGAGTTGTTGTTTTTTTTTGTGTGTTTTTTGTTTGTTTGTTTGTTTATCAAAACCGCTTTCCTCTGTTATCTTTAGCTCCACAAAGTGTTAATAATGTGACTGTGGTGCATCAAAATGAGACCAGCATAACTCTGGAGTGGAAAACAGTCCCCAACATCAACAATTATATTCTTGTGTTTAATGAAAGAGAGATCAACATTAGTAATTCTGAAAAAGAATACAGAGTGTTAAATTTGACCAGTGGAACCAGATACACTTTCACTCTCTTCACTGTGTTTGGAAATGTCAGAAGCAGTGGAGTAAACTGCATCGCAGTCACTGGTAAGATATATTTTCTCTAACATAGACAGATAAACCAGGATGGACCGGCTCATTAGTACTTGAAACTTAGCTGATGGAGAGTGTTGTTTTTTTTTGTGTGTTTTTTTTAATCAAAGCCACTTTCCTCTTATCTTTAGCTCTACAAAGTGTTAATAATGTGACTGTGGTGCATCAAAATGAGATGAGTATACCACTGGAGTGGAACAAGGTTAAAAACATCCCAGAATACATCCTACAGAATAATAACATAAACATTTGTCAAATTTTCCAATTTGAATATGTCAAATACTAACCCGACCTATAATCCTAGACTGCTTACTGCTAACCTGGTGGAGGTTAACAGATTAAAAACATCTAAAACAGTCATAGTCCTTTAAAATGTTCCACAGTTGATGCTCCTCTACAACATGAACAAGAGCAGAGCTCTATAATGATGTTTAAGGTTTCTCAGAAACAGAAGAGTGTAGCTCACCTAATATTTTCAAAAGGACTGATAAAAATACTGAAACTGAAGCCTCGCTCCATGTTTCTGTGTCTGACAGAAATGTTGTTACAGTTTCTTGTTTGTGCGTTTTTCTATTCTAGCTCCTCGTAATGCTGAGACTTTAAGAAAAATGGACAAGATGAGACCAGCATAATCTGGGTGGAAAACAGTCCCAACATCGACAAATACATTCTGCGTTTAATGGGAGCAAGATCAATATATAATTCTGAAAAGAATACAGAGGTAAAGACCAGTGGAAAGTCAAACAGTGGATAAATGCATCGCAGTACTGGTGAAGACTAATAAGAAAACCAGATGGACCGCTCATATACTTGAAACTTTAGCTGATAGATTATAAAATTGAATCAAAAAATAAGAAAAAAAACAAATTGAGGAAAAACCCAAATCAAAATTAAAATGAAAGAAGACAAAGTATTTGAGAATACAGTGTAAATTTACCATGAACAGTACTTTCATTCTTGTTTGAAATGTCAGAAGCATGGAACTGATCGCAGTCACTGAGTATAAGACATATTTTCTGTAATTCAAAGCATCCTCTTATCTTAGCTCTACAAAGTGTTAATAATGACTGTGGCATCAAAATGAGATGAGTATACCACTGGAGTGGAACAAGGTAAAAACATCCCAGAATACATCTACAAAAATAACATAAACATTGTCAAATTTCCAATTGAATATGTCAAGTACTAACCCGACCTATAATCCTAGACTGCTACTGCTAACCTGGTGGAGGCTAACAGATTAAAAACATCTAAAACAGTCATAGTCCTTTAAAATGTCCACAGTTGATGCTCCTCTACAACATGAACAAGGGCAGAGCTCTATAATGATGTTTAAGGTTTCTCAGAAACAGAAGAGTGTAGCTCACCTAATATTTTTCAAAAGGACTGATAAAAATACTGAAACTGAAGCCTCGCTCCATGTTTCTGTGTCTGACAGAAAATGTTGTTACAGTTTCTTGTTTGTGCGTTTTTCTATTCTAGCTCCTCGTAATGCTGACGACTTTAAGAAAAATGGACAAGATGAGACCAGCATAACTCTGGAGTGGAAAACAGTCCTCAACATCGACAAATACATTCTTGCGTTTAATGGGAGCAAGATCAATATTAGTAATTCTGAAAAAGAATACAGAGTGTCAGACTTGACCAGTGGAACCAGATACAATTTCACTCTCTTCACTGTGTTTGGAAATGTCAGAAGCAGTGGAGTAAACTGCATCGCAGTCACTGATGGTGGTAAGACATATTTTCTGTATTATAGATAAATTAGCCCAGATGGACGCCTCATTAGTACTTGAAACTTTAGCTGATGGAGAGATTTTTTTTGTCAAAGCCACTTTCCGCTGTTATCTTACCACAAAGTGTTAATAATGTGACTGTGGTGCATCAAAATGAGATGAGCATAACACTGCAGTGGGAAAAGGTTAAAAACATCCCAGAATACATCCTTACTAAAACTTAGGAAACCAAAATGGTTACTTAAGGATGTCATTTGTGAATCAGAATTTGTAAAATTGTCTTTATTTCATCTTTAGCTCCTTATAATTCACAGCAACTGCATTTGAATCAGACTAAATGAGACCAGAGCTTCATTTATTTATTAACATAGGGGAGACCGGGGATAGTTGTAACATTTTTGACATTTCTGTCTGTAAATTGAAGCTCTTTTAAGGTAGTGGATTCAAAATGTAATGCAAAGTATTTACATGTCTCTGCTATTAAATAGTGCAGCTATTTTCTCTGCAGCACAATTACCCATTGCATGGTATGGTCTCAAACACGAAGAGTGAAATGTTACAATTAACCCCATAGTCTGGGTTAGTTGTAACATATCCTGGGGTAAAATGTAACACAATGAAATAAGGGTACTAACAAAACATTAACATGTAATCTTTGTTTATTCAACACATGAATGCACTTAGAGCCATTTATGTAGCTATGTGTGTGTGTGACAGAATGCAAAAATCTAGCTTTTGAACATATTCCAACCCTGAACATATTAGCCCTGATTGGAGAAATTGGAAGTGTTACAACTGACCCACGTTACAACTATCTCCCCTATGTGTGTTGCTTTGTCACTATGAGTGCCTTGAAAGGAAAAAGTAACATCTATTTATGCTTCCGAAATCATTCTTTGTCCTCTTTCAGCTCCAAAAAATGTCCAGAATGTGACTGTGACACAAAATGAGAACAGTATAACTCTGATGTGGGAGAAGGTTAACGACATGCTAACATACATCCTAGAATATGACAGCGGTAGTATTGTTATTGGCAAGAATGACATGGACGGATGCACGACATCAGGTGCATCAGTTACATGTGTGGTCTCTTCTCTGACTGCTGGGACAAACTACAATTTTACCCTCTTTACTGTGTTTGAGAACGTCAGCAGCTCTGGATACAACTTTAGTGCACCGACAGGTATGTAATCAAGTGGGTTTTTTTAAACTGTTTGTTTTCCTTTGTAAAATTGTCTTTATTTCATCTTTAGCTCCTGATACAATATATTTAAAAGGGCAATATAAGTCCAAGTGAAATGTCCATGTTTTCCTTCTGGCCTGCAGTGCCATTTATCCATCAAGGCTCCACCCACCAACCATATCTCTGAGAAGAAGGAAGTGTGCATCTAACCCTGATGATAGGCTTGTGCTTGTAATAGAGCAGCAAATATGAATGATGTGCTCTTAGCAAGCAGCATGCTTAATTATTATATTTTATATGTAATTATTTTATTATTTGTATATATAGTTATTATTTATTCAATTAATTTTAATGCTGAGTGCCATTTAGCTCACACACCTATTCAGGCTTAAGTATGTAAAAGCTTGTGATAACTGAACTAGCTCTATACTCCTGTATTTCATTTTAAAAGAAAAAGATGAACAAATTCCACTTCTGAGTTTTGTTTTTGTTTTTTCAGTTCCACCAGTGGTGCCTTGGGTCAGTGTGACTGAACGATTTGCTAACAGCATAACTCTAGAGTGGGAGAACATGAATAAAGCCTGGCAATACGAGCTTCAAATCAATGGTGATGTGCCAAGTAGTGTGTCAGACGTCTCCTCAGATACAATCAGAAAAGTAGTGACATCTCTTCAGCCTGGATCACAGTATGATTTCAGCTTAACCACAGTGTTTGCTGGACTCAGGAGCACTCCTTATACGAATTTCACAGTAACAGGTAAACAAACCCCCAAAACATCTCTGTGTTAGACTTTTATAACTTTTTCTTGTCTCTATTCAATGAGTTGTATAAAAAAAGAATCAGGTTCTTGCGTATAACTATTTTCTCACCCCTTTCAGCCATCGACTGTGCCAGTGCAGACTGGAAAGTTACCAACTCATCAATCAAAGCAAAGATTGAAGGCTTGTTTTCGACCGCAACGGCCCGTAATGGATCTAACGTTCATGTCAGTGATGGACGTGAAAATGTGTCGTTTACTGGACTTTACCCTGGTGCCACCTATAACATCTCTCTTGTCTATGAAAAGTCTTCCAGAGTTTTCTTGCAGTGTGAACACAAATTAACAATTCGTGAGTACAACAGAAACCATTTGAAGGACTAGAATCTGTAAATTAGTATTTAAGAACTTAAAGTAATAACTTCCTGAAAGATGAAGTGTGAATTCTTGTGATTTAGTTTTTAATTTTTACTCTTGCATTCAAATTTTAATCTTGAAAAAGTTTATTGCTGAAAAATAATTTTATGTACAATTTATATACCACAGGTTAACACACATATTTAATATGATTCAGTATGAATACATGAGTTTCAACCAAGTATCATTTTATCATTAACTAACTTATTAGTTTTGATAAATAATCTCAACAAATTAAAAAGGCTAAAACAGAAAATTCTAACTTCTGTAAGGCAGGAATTATTTTTGTGACTTGAGCTGTTAATCAATCATTACTACAGATTGTTTTTTAATTATAATTATATACAGACTGAGTAATTCTTTCAATGTCTAAGTTTGAGGTCTTCATTCTTTGTTTTTATATGAAAATCCAAAAATTTATTATTAACTTTTTAAAGAATAAGAGCACTGCTTTGACCTAAAAGTAAGACAAATAATCTTTCTACTTTAGAACAAATTTCTACTTTTTCTACTTTAGAACAAAGTTTTGTAGTATAAAAAGTTTCATTATATTTACTATAAGTCATATATTTTCTGCTTTAGTTTTGACTGTAAAACCTTTTTCTTGTTTTACTCAGTTCCTCCTAATCTAAATGCTCACTGTGAGTACTGGGCAGCTGGATACTCTGTTCTTATTAAATGGACAGACCCAGAGGGCGAGTGGACTAATGCAGAGGTGAATGTGACTGGAAAGACTCACACAGTAGCTAGTCCTGAAACTGAGATCACAATCAATGGATTCCAACCTGCCAAAAAATATAAAGTGTCTGTAACTTCAATGTCTGGGGTGAGGAGTTCTGAACCGCATGTGTTTTACTGCCAAACTGATCCAAGGGGTGAGTAAAAGTAACTATATTACCATGTTGCTGCTTGTAATCATAACAGTATACAGTATTTTCAACTTTGACTTGATTGTTTCATTTCACGCAAGTGTAAAAAATAAACCTCTAAACTTTTCAACTTCATTGCTAACTATGCTTTTGCTCCCTTTAGGAGTTATTGCAGGGTCCGTATTTGGTGTGCTTCTTTTTGGTCTCCTGGTTGCTCTGGTTGTCTTAATTTTCCTCAAAAGACCAGATATTATTAGGTGGGTCTCACTTCACCGACAAGAATAAAGTAAATTAAATTAATACATTTATCAAATTTAATGTCTTAAGTTTGATCCTGCAGCAGAAAGAAGTCTTCATTCATTGGTGGATCCAAAGTATCTAACACACAGAGCAAGTAAGTGTTTTTTTTACAATGACAATTACCCACAATGAAGAAAAACATTAATTATGGCAAAATTAATTAATAAAATTGAGAGAGTTATGTTTTATTTATTTATTTATTTTTAGATCTATTCCTGCTGCAAAGTTTCCGGACCACTTCCATCAGCTGAGTTTGGACGAGAACAGAGGCTTCAGCGAGGAATATGAGGTGCATAAAAAGATCAAGATTTTTTTTCCTCTTCTGCTTCTGTGTGTTCCTGTTTTTGTGTCTTTACTGTTTTATTTCTTACCATTTTATTTGTTTTATGATGGCCAGTATCTCAGTTTCATGCTTTGTTATCTGCTACGTTCATGCAGTGCCTCGCTCCTGCTGGAACAGACCAGACACGAAAGACTGCTATTCTACCTGAAAACAAAGCGAAGAATCGTTTCAATAACGTCTTGCCATGTGAGTCTCTCCTCTGACTGTTGAACCGTGCTGTTGTGAGCTCAGTCTAGCAGTCTATGTCAGGACTACTGGAGGTGCACTGGAGTTAAATCACCTGTTTTCTCATATTAGATGACTGGTGTCGTGTGAAGCTAACTACATCAGATCCTGATGGAATTTCAGACTATATCAATGCCAATTACATGCCGGTAAGTGTTACATTAAGATAAAGTTCAGTGAAGATCTCTTTATAACTACACCATACAGAAAGCATATAAACAAGCACCTTTGTGCGATTTCATGAGCTTTCTTTTTTCATTTCTATAACGAGCAGAAGATATACAAGCTAAATTAGTCTACATATTAACTTTGTCCCCTGCGACCCTGAAAAGGATAAGCGGAAGCGAATGGATGGATGGATTAACTTTGTCCACTGCTTTTCAGGGCTACAGCAGTAACAGAGAGTACATTGCCACTCAGGGCCCTCTGCCCTCTACTGTTAATGATTTCTGGAGAATGATTTGGGAACAAAGAGTTAAGAGGATCGTTATGGTAACCAACTGCATTGAAGGAGGGCGGGTAAGTCTTCAGGAAAATCTTAAAATGTTTTATTGATGGTCTTTTAAGGAAGTTGTTGTCAGGAGGAAACATGTTACTTCACAAAGAACAGATCAAGATCTATGATTAAAATACATTTTGTATGTGTATTTTTTTTGCTTTTTGCTCATTTTTCTAGACCAGGTGTGAACAATACTGGCCTGCAGACAGCAAGTCATGCCTTTATGGAGAGCTGTTGGTCACCATGAGATCTGAGCAACAGGAGACCAACTGGACGCTGAGAGAATTCAACCTGAAAGATGTATAAAAACTTACTTATATCTTCTGAGTGTGTGTGTAGATGGTACTAAGTAAGGCTAGAAAACATGAATAGAAAACATTGAAGGCTTTAACTGTTAATGTTGCTTTTAAAAGAATAATGGTTGATTGATACCTAAAATATTATGCTGTATATCAAGACATAGGCCTAAAGTAACTGTATATGAATGTTCCTCACAGAGAAAAACCTCAGAAGAACAGACAGTTAAACATTTCCACTTTACTGCCTGGCCTGATCATGGAGTCCCAGAGTGCACAGAGATCCTGATCCAGTTCAGAGGACTGGTGAGACAGCACATAGAGAGAGAAGGGGGCAAAGCACCAACTGTGGTTCACTCCAGGTATGAAATAAGTGTTTCCTTTTACATGGGTGCAGGGTTGCTTTTATACAATATCCACCCAGCTAAAGTCACACACTCTAATACTGGACCACCTTTACTTTAGGCAAGGCAAGGCAAGTTTATTTGTATAGCACAATTCAACAACAAGGTGATTCAAAGTGCTTTACAGAGACATTAGAAACAAAAACAAATAAAAAGCATGATTTAAAATTGATTAAAACAAGCAAACAAACAAACTAATTAACAAACAAACAAAACAGTATATAAAATCAAAACAGATAAAATCAGAACAGTAGATAAAATCAGTAGTTAAATGTAAGTTTTGAAATTTAAGCTTAAAAGTGTGGATTTGGTGCTTTATTCAAATGCAGCTGAGAATAGGTGAGTCTTCAACCTGGATTTAAATAAACTGAGTGTTTCAGCTGATCTGAGGCTTTCTGGGAGTTTGTTCCAGATATAAGGAGCATAAAAGCTGAATGCAGCTTCTCCGTGTCTGGTTCTGACTCTGGAAACTGATAAAAGACCCGATCCAGATGACCTGAGGGATCTGGAAGGTTCATACTGGGTCAGGAAGTCACTGATGTATTTTGGTCCTAAACCATTCAGAGCTTTATAGACCAGCATCAGAACTTTAAAGTCTATCCTCTGACGGACAGGCAGCCAGTGTAAAGACCTCAGAGCTGGACTGATGTGGTCCACTTTTTTGGTCTTAGTGAGGACTCGAGCAGCAGAGTTCTGAATGAGCTGTAGTTGTCTGACTGATTTTTTAGGTAGACCTGTAAAGATGCTGTTACAGTAATCAAGCCTACTAAAGATGAACGCATGGACTAGTTTTTCCAGGTCCTGTTGAGACATCAGATCTTTTATCCTTGAAATATTCTTGAGGTGATAGTAAGCTGACTTTGTTATTGTCTTAATGTGTTTCTCTAAGTTTAGGTCTGCATCCATCACTACACCCAAATTTCTCGCCTGGTTTGTGGTTTTTAGATGTATAGATTGAAGTTCTCTGGTGACCTGTAATCGTTTTTCTTTGGCGCCAAAGACTATTACCTCAGTTTTGTTTTTGTTTAGCTGGAGAAAATTGTGGCACAACCAGTCATTAATTTCCTCGATGCATTTACCAAGAGCCTGTACAGGGCCTTGGTCTCCTGGTGACATTGTGATATATATTTGTGTGTCATCTACATAGCTGTGGTAGTTTATTTTGTTGTTCTTTATAATCTGTGCCAGTGGGAGCCTGTAAATGTTAAACAGAAGGGGTCCCAAGATGGAACCTTGGGGAACTCCACATGTGATACTTGTCTGCTCAGATGTGAAGTTACCTATTGATACAAAGTATTTCCTGTTTTCGAAGTATGTTTTGAACCAGTTTAGTACAGTTCCTGAAAGACCTGCCCAGTTCTCCAGTCGTTTGAGTAATAAGTTGTGGTCAACTGTATCAAATGCTGCACTGAGATCCAGTAAAACTAAGACTGACATTTTTCCACTGTCTGTATTCAGACATATGTCATTAAACATTTAGATGATCTTGTCAACAAACTTAGGTAAACTCACATCACTTACAACCCAAATTCCAACAATAAATATCAGCTCATTTTAAATTTGATGGCAGCAACACAAGTCAATAAAGTTGGGACATCGCCCCTCTTCTTTTAAGAGCCTATAAACATCTAAGAGAACTGAGTAGCTAAACTATAAAAGTGAATGGTCCTTGTTGAGTCTGCGCTTCAGCAGGCCCGCTAGTTCAGACTTATCACCCATGAAGAATGCAAGGCAGAACAGCTCAACCGGTTTTCACATGCTATAGCAAACGACTCCAAAGAACCAGCACCCACAGTTTCACAAACACCCATTGTAAAACCACCCTGTGGTGCGTCATAAAACTAAGGCACTGTGTGTGTGTGCATGTGTGTGTGTGCATATACAAGCCTGTGTATATGTGTGTGTGTGTGTGTGTGTGTGTGTGTGTGTGTGTGTGTTTATGATCACAAAGGGTCATCTCCCCTCACCCCTTTATCTGGCTTAGCTTCTTCCAACGGTTTACCATATACAGGTGAGGACATAAATGGCAGGAAGTAAAACATACTCACTAAATAAGGACAGAGAATTTTCACATAGGATGTCTCTACAGTTAAACACTACAGCTAATTACCTCCCTCACCATTCAACAGGCTGGGGATGGTAACAGAAACAGAAGAATGTCTTTGATCATACAATTTAAGGCAAGGCGTACAAATTTAAGTAACACAATGACAACATTTAACAATTTCAACCTAACAGTCCTAAGTTCCAAGAGATCCTCCAAATGGCCTATTAAAAGTAATAAAAGTAAAGTAAAAGAAGGTAAAAGGGCCACTTGCAGGACCTCTGGGATATTTATCTGAAAGTGTTGCTCTAAAACATATTTATAGTTTTCAACATTGATGGTGCCTATCCTATTGAATTATCACTAATGACCCCACAGACACACACACACACACACACACACACACACACACACACGGCTGCTGTTTTTTGAACTGAGTGGTGAAAGCAAGTCAAATAGTTTTGTATTTTGTTTTGTTTTTTATGATTTGGTTTCACCAAACTGAGCTCAAATTAAATTTAACTGAGCTCAAATCACAATCATTCAAGAATATTTTGCAACCATATTTACTCTCAAAAGATGATGGCTCATTACTTTCTCTCCAGATTTTAATATTAATTTTTAGATTTTATTATATTATAATTTTTTTTTTAATGCTTTAGAAATGTCTTAACCCATTTTAGGAGTTTCAGCAATTATATTTCTTTGCTTGATGGAGGCCAGTAATTTGACCTTTCTGAAATGGACTAACATATTTTTCATTACTACAGGATATGTCTTCCTAAATAACCGCTTAATAAATAAGATGCTACTTCAGGGTTAGGGTTAAATAAGCTATTGGTTGCCAAAATTATTAAACATTATTACTGATTACTGCAGTAAGTATGAATGGGAAAGCTATAGACTATTTGCTTGGTTAAATCCAGGTGTTTTGGGCTTTTTGTTTTGTCAGGCACGCTTTCTTTAGTCTCATTCACATTAGATTAAGAAGAAGTGACATAAAAGCTGGAGACCATAAATTTGGTCAGCATAAAGAATTTACTAATATTAAATCATAATTTATTAAAGGTCATTTTTTGTGTAAGTGCTGAGTTTAAAGATCTTCAGTTAGGAGCAACTAGTTCATCCTAATATTTACTTCTTTCCTTCTGTGGCCTTCAATCCTGTAAGATTATGAAAACTCACTGAAACAAATTGGGATCATTCTCATAAATATAAATACCACCAACGACACAATTGTGCTCCAGTGACTTTGTAGAATACAACATGCTGTGTTACAGTTATAGTCAGACCTCTTCTGGGATCTGCAGAGGAGGCATTCAATTAACCACAACATTATAAATTACTACGTACTCACATATAAACTCTACTATATGTGAGACTTTATAGAGACACAGCATGGACAGTGTCTGACTGATACTGTAAAAATATAATGTGATGTTTCGAGGCAGCGTATTAGGAGCAGGTGAAGGGTTGGTATCACATTCCCAAACACTCCTGTCTGTGATTAAAAGTCTTTTGTGACTAACAGTGTCATTCAGGTTTTGTGTTTTCTAATCCATTTTTCTTTCTGTCTTGATGTCTTGTTTTCAGCTCACTTTAGTTTCATTTTGCATTTACTAGTTTCACTTTGGTTTTTACTGTTTTGAAATGTTCCGTTTTATTTAAGCTTTCATTAGTTTGTGTGTTGTTGTTTTTTTAATAATTATAACATTTAGGGTATTTGTCAGGGGTATATTTTTAAAAGCATTGAGCAGATATTACATTACAAATTGCAAACACGTGCACTAAAGCCTTACTGAGCAGGCTGTGATGACAAATTTGACCAAAGGGACAAAGACTATAATTAAAGACATTTCCTCTATAATTTTATTGAAGCTTGTTGTTGTTGTGTACAGTATTGTTTTCCACATTGTTTTCACATCTAGTTATAGGTTCTAGTTTAGTTTTTGTTAACTATAATAACTTTGGCACAGACACAGTGATGAGAGCTTTCTATGTGACCTTAAAAACCTTTTGCTATCTTATTATGACGTTTGTGTCTCTCTTAGTGCTGGAGTCGGGAGAACTGGCACTATCATTTCCCTGGATGTGCTGCTTCAGCAGCTGGAGAAAGAACAAGCAGTCGGCATCAATGCCTTCGTACACAAGATGAGACTGAGCCGACCGTACATGGTGCAGACGGAGGTAACTGTGTTAAACTGCTTCTGATTGAGCCACCACTTCCTTAATTAGCTAATGTATTTCTTTATAGTCACAGCTGGTGACACAACACACAGACAGCACTTTATTCATCATAAGATATGCAGTTGTTTTTTTGTTTGTTTGTTTGTTTTAAATTGAGGTCCTTATTGTCCATCCTTTCATCTTAAAATATGAGTTTGAAAGATTTTTTTCTATTGTTCAATTTCTGTTTTCAAATTTTGTACACATTAACCAGCAGATGACTCCTTAAAATATTTTTAAAAAATCTTTAATGCCCAGTTTGTTCATTGTACATGTTACAGTAAAATAGGGCGATTTGATTCCAATTCACATGGTCCCGAATTGATTCGATCCACGGTTCGATTCGATTTGAATCTGAGAAATTTTGCCTCAGTCAGAAATATTATAATTCTGATCACATATCAGTACATATTTTTATATCTATAAAAAGAAAGCTGACACTTGTGAGAATTTATCAAAAGTGTAAGCATCACAGCAGATGCCTTTGTGTTAAAGTAACTGAGGAAAAAACAGAAAAACATGAAGGCGACTTTCCTTGCCTGGGATTTTATAGCTTTCTTTCAACATTGCAGCACAGTCTCAAAAATAAAGCATTCCAATTCTTTTAATAAACAAAAAGGTCCAACAAGCTTTGTTTTATGAAATTTTTTTTTTAGCTCTCTTACTTAAAAAGATGTAGACATAGACACAAAGACAAATACTGTCCAGAATGTCACAAACAGGACTATAATAAAATTTCAATCAAGTGTTTTGCTGTAGAGGTGGGCTTGGATAACGTAAAATCAATTCATTAAAACCCTAAATCGATTTTTAATACTAATTATATTTTTCCCGAAATGCCAGAATCTCAGGTTAAACCTCACAAAATTTCAACAATCACCAAACAGCTAAAACAGTAAATGAAAGCAGGTACACGGATTCTGCACAAAGACACAAACACAAAGCGCGGACCCATCGACAGATCAGAAGCAGTGAGATCTCTCACCCGACGGCATGGGCAGGGTCGGGGCTGAAAGCTGACAGCTCACTGATTCCCTGATTCCCGATTTGTATTTACGCCCTTTTTGCGCTAGATTCAGAAGCTGCAGGTTTTTATCTCTCTCCAAACAATATTGACTGAACCAGCAGCAAATGAAGATCCAAACTACGCTTCACATTTCGCTTCACGTAAACATCGTCATGAATTAGTTTTGCTGTTTTGCTCCCACCACGATAAAATCACACTTCATGCAGAGTTCGCTGTCTCTCTCCAAGAACAGTTTCCCATCTAAAAATCTTTTTTCTGCATTATTCGCTTGCTTATTATGCACAAGGCTACCGTTGTTTACAGCGCTGTTGGCCGCTGCTTTTTTTTTCCCTTTCACTTGCTTCCGAAAAGAAAGACTCATTTCTGCTGTTCAATAGGCTACTGAACAAATTTAAACTTTTTAAAATCATCCAAAATTGCAAAATGCTTAGCTGTGTCTCTAATAAAACCCCTGTAACTTTGCTCTGTCTCACTTCAGCAGCATCAGGTAATGTTCAGATGTTGATTAATGACTTAATGTTTCGGTTTTGATCTACTGCAGAATATTTTATGGTTAGGGTTAGGGGTTAGGGCAGAACTACTGCCTGTAAAGATCATAATATATTATGATATATTATGATCTTTACAGGCAGTAGTTCTGCATTTCAAATAACCAAAAACGTCTGGTATTTCCTTTTCAGTCCCAGTACATTTTCCTGCACCAGTGCATTATGGACAGTCTGCAACCAAAAGACACGAATGAAGAGAACATTTATGAGGATATATGTGAGAACACATACGAGACGCCAGACAGCATATACGTCAATGCCACTGCACTCCAAGAGCTCCATCGGCACAATGTAAATGCCTAGTATTAACCCTGCACTTAATCTTTTATGCACCCAATGAAAAACTATTTGTCTATGAGCAATATTTTGGTTTTAAACTACTATGCAAACTATTACATCTTAACTACACTTCAGATCTTATTTAGTTTGCATCTCTTCTAAATGTGTGATATTATAATTGTTGTTTTTGTGTGAGAAAATAGCCCTCTGATGACTTGGGAATGTTAAAAATGTCATGGTTCTGGGTCCTTTTCACCCATCATGTTGAGTTTCTTCTATTCTAGTGATATTTTGTATTATGGTTTATGTTCAGGTTCATTTATAGTCTTAGTTGTTCTGTTTTGAATTTCTTTATACTCCCTGTTTAGTTCTTGGGTTGTTAGGTTTCCCCTTGTGTCTTTGCCTCTCTCTCTGTGTCTGTGTTTATGTGTTTGTATGAGCCGTTGCGTCTTGTCTCCCTCCTTCTTTTCCATTCTATGTTTCCTGAGCCCATCATGTCTCCTCTCTCTCCCTCATGTTCCCTTGCTCCGTCTTGTCTGCCTTTCCTCCACTCCTCTGCCAAACTCATGTGTCAGTCATTCATTCATTTCCTGTTCTATTGTGAAGGTCTTGTGTTCCATGCTCAGTGTGTTTAGTTTTGGTTCCCTGGTGTCGTCATGTCTAATTTGTCTCAGCTCTGTTCCGCATGTATTTTCTGTTTCCTCGTCATTGTACTGTGTATTTAAGCTTCTGTTTCCCTCAGTCCATTTGCGTTCTCACGTAATTTGTGAATGTTGTATATGGGCTGATGTAGAGGGTGATTATTAGACGGGTAATTAAAAGCATTAAAAGCACAATTACCACAGTGACTCTAAAACATGACTGCACTGCAGGAGTATCTGTAGTGTATCGTGAGATGTTAAATGCAGTTTAGTATATACATTGCAACTGAGAAAAAATGAGTCTGTAGCCAGACTGTGACATACACTGACCATGCACTTCACAGGTACACCACTTCAGCTGCTTGTTAATGCAAATATCTAATCAGCCAATCACATGGCAGAAACTCGGTGCATTTAGGGATGTGGATAGTTTTTTAGTGTCTGTCTGAGCAGAAAAATGCAATTGTTAATTATCTGCTTAGATCACACAGGTACCTGAAGGCGAAATATAACAAGCAGACACATTTTTCTTTAAGGAGTCAACAATAGAAGTCATCAGGAATTGATATCTGATGTATAATTCTTATAATTTGGATCCTTAAATAAAATAGACTGAAGGTTTAATGTAACTACTCGAGAAGATGGAGTGATGAAGAGATTGTGATTGTGATGTATTATAGAATGAAATTTAAAATAGCTTATCAAGAATATGCTCATGACTGCACATCTAAATTTAAAATTTTCTGTTTATATTTTCACGGACATTGTATGTTTTAATATACCTTTGTGTGAAATTAAATATATATGCTCAAACTGATTTAGCTTGTGAAAAAAGCACCCGTGATTTGTTAAAATTGTCACTTATGATGCAAATTGTTCACAAATAAATAATATATATAATATTTACTTTTGAATGATGTCAAAAACAAAATCATTTTTCTGCTTAATGAATGTTTATTATATTCTATATGTAATTAGAATTGCATTTAAATTTAGTTCTTAAATTTACTTTTAAATTTACATAATCATACCATTTATATTTAGACAACAGCATGAGAATGCACAGAACAGACATATTTATGTATAATTAGTTCACAGAAACATACCAAAATATTACAAAATAATCAGGTTATATGAATTAGTTTCTTCATTTTGATCTGAGCATCATTAGTACATTAAATAAATATAAATGGGTGCTAATGAAGATTGTTAGCATCTGTTGGTCATTTGTAATAACAAACTAATTCAACCTCCAACAACAACAAACCATAACAACAGGAACATGGAGATAACGAGGACAGCAAAAGACAGCAATAAGGAAACTCAGTAATCTGGTGAAATCTTGTCAAAAGTGCTGCAGGAGATGATGTTTCACTAACAATCTCCTGAAAGAATGACCCAAATCTTCAGGTTTTGGTAAAGATGTCAACATCTGCATGGCTCAGTTTACGTCCAGTGATTGTTACGACAGCAACTTGGAACCATGAAGACTCTGCTCTTATGTCCCTGTGGATGTAAAACAGGATTCATAATCAGTGAGATCCAAGCACAGTCTGAAAGCTATATATATATTTATTTTTTCCATTCATATTCAGACTCACTTAAGAGTCTTGTTAGAGACCAGGACAGGTGTAGCTGCTGTCAGGATCCAGCCCGCTGGAGATGAACTGCACAAATCCTGGCCTATTAGAGCGAATGCGGGACTTGATCCAGGACTGGTAACGGGACACTCTGGAGTAGACTCCTGGCAGATTGGGCCGAGCACAACCAGATCCAAAACTTACAATTCCAGACTGGACCCAAACAGAGCCCTGTTTACTCACCATTGGACCTCCTGAGTCTCCCTGTAGAGATAAAGAGGACACATCTGAGAATCTTTGAAACACCTGGTTATGTAACCAAATGAGATGATGAAGCCTACCTGACACGAGTCTTTGCCTCCTGCCAGAACACCAGCACAGATCATGTTGTCTGTGACTGTGCCCACTCCATTCAGGCAGTTACACTGTCTGTTTCCCACAACTGGCACCTCCACTTCTTGCAGCGTTTGAGGGAAGGGTAAGGCCACTGATGGGATGCAAGACGAGGAGCTGTTTACACACAAACCAATGAACCACAGAACACATGAACACTGAAACACCAACAACAGCCTCACCTCCCTCCTTGACTGCACCCCAGCCAGTCACCCAGCTATCAGTGCCATTGTTGAACACACTGCCACTCGCTGCCAGGCACACAGGTCTGATGTAGTCAGTGAATCTGACTGGTGAGGAGAGTCTGAGCAGAGTGATGTCGTTGTCGTAGGTCTTACTGTCATAGTTTGGGTGCAAAATGATTTTGACAACATTTCTGGACACCTTATTTGGATTTGCACCCTGCAGGCTCTGAAGACCAAGAGAAACCGTCCACCCAGAAGGACTTGAACTAAAGTTATAGAAATGAAAAGAAAATATAGACGTTTTGACAAAAAAATGTACTGTAAACATTTGTCATTATGCTGCATTTGAGCTGGAAGAGTAAGAAAGCTTGGGTCAGTTTTTCAACATTTATGTTCATGAAATGTTTCAGGAATTACATAATTTTTAGAATTTCCAATCTGGTATTTGCCTTTTAGACAAATGTTAGTCAAAGTCCTGTTCTAGCTGGATCAGTTTAGGTATAAAGATTAAACAGATGTTTGTGTTACTCACCCAGAGAAGCAGTGAGCAGCAGACATCACCCACTCTTTGTTGATGAGGGAACCGCCACAAAAATGTTTACCACGTAGCTGCACGCTGACCTGCCACGGCCAGTATCCAGGTGGAGCATCTTCACCTCCTACTATCCTGCCGTTGAGTGGAGCAGTGCCACATACTGAAACAAAGATCAGCAGGATCAAACTTCAGAAGCAACATAAATCATTGTAGGAACACGGAAAACATTTTTTCTGTTTTTATCTGGATCCCGGTTAATTTTTTTATTTTAAAATACATAATTAATATTAAAAAATAATAAATTTGAATTAATGATTTGTTTTTTTACTCAGAGAAACTGTTGTTTTACCTACCATCAGGCTGAGCATTTGATTCTGGAAAGAAACACAACAGGATCAGTGTTGTTCATGAGAGGAGACAATTTTAAAAGGTTTTAAGTGAAAATATATATTTGCATTTATATTTTAAGTCAAAACATTTATGTTGCATGCACATGTTGGCATAAGCCTGACTTACCTGCTGCCAGGAGGCTCACCAAAGCAAATAAATGAGTCCACTGCCTCAACGCCATTGTGTAAATTCACAGTTCTTGTGTGTCCCTCTTTTGTACTTGTCACCCAGCTAGCAGTGAGTGGCAAATATATAAGCAGAGTGTCACCTGCCACTATGTTTGCCCTGCCCATGTGCACATCCCACCGCCAGAAAACTGAAGCATTTCCTTCTACCTTTAATTTCTGGGACAAAGATTTAAAGACCACAGTGCAATTTAAAAAATATATATAATTTTCTTTATATGTCATATTTGTAATAAACACGAATATTGGCAGTAGTTTTTGTTACAGACTTCTGCCCTTTTTACAGTTCTGTACTTCTTTCCACATTAATGTTCTCAAAGTCATCGAAAAACCTCCCTGTGGATTGTGAACCAAATAAGGAGATTAAATATGTAAAATATCCAAAGACTGAGTCAGCGTCATCTGCTGAGATTGTGGTGAAATTCTGTACAAGTCAGTCAGTTTACTATATCGACATAAAATGATATTTCAGTGACAAAATATTTACTGGTTTTGTCATGTGTTTTAATGACTATCCAGTATCATGTTGTCATGATGTGACAACTATTTACATCACATTCAGAAAACATTATGACTAATTCCCTTTACACCCTAACACTAAAATTGTTCCTGTTAATTTTTTGCCTCGTCATGAATCATTCCATACTTCATGGTTACAAAACAGAAACATAATATCTATAGATGTTTATAAAATACTTTTTTAAAAAGTCACCTCTGATATTCTAAACTGCCTGAAATCAAAGATTTATACAGCTATAACCATGTTAAAATATTTTGTAAGATAACCAAGCCAAATGCACCGTGAGACTGAAGCAACTTTCTGCAGAGCTCTGAGACATTCACAATATCAACCAACAGATCTGCTAAGGCTATAAAGAATGGCCACAATGGCCAACGAAAGTAGTCTGATAGGCTTCTCGAAGTAACAAAGAACCTGGTGATCATTCCAACTAAGCTTCAGAAATCCTGTAAACAATCTCAGTGCAACACTCCAGCATATCTTAGATTTATGGCAGTGGTCAGATGTTTGGTCTCAGTTCTACCATGATGAGTGTGGCATCAATAATCAGCTGCTCAATACAAGTCAGCATAACAGTGAAAGCATTGTGTTATAGGAATGTTCTTCAACTAATTAAAACCTGTTAAGAATGATCAGAAACTGAATGTAGAAACGCAAAGAGACATTATTAAGGTAAATCTGGAGCTCTAAATGTACCACAGGCCCAGAATGAAGGTCTTAAACTAAAGAAATCTACCATAAAAAAGAAAAAAAAAATTCTCAATTGCTGGTTTGTTGTCAGCACTCAGTTTAATGGAACTGGTGACTTTCACATCTGGAAAAAACACAATTAATGCTGAAAAGTATATACACATATGCTCCCATCCAGATGGCATATTTTTTTAAAAAAAGGCCTTGCATATTTTAGCAAGACAATGTTTAACCACAAACTGCACTGATTACAAAGGCATACCTTTGCAGAAGACGAGTCGAGGTGCTGAACTGCCCTGCCTGCAGGCCAGACCATTCACCAACCCAAAACTGAAAATTTGGCCTATCAACCATTCCTTTAACGTTAGCTAGTAATGACTTCATGTACTTCTTCACAAATAAAATTTTAAGAGAATTTTAATTTTAAGAGTAATTTTTAGAGAAAAAAATTACTCATTATCATCTCACACATGTAGTGTTATCTACAGCTCCTTTCAGTACCATTTATTTAGAGTCTTTTTCTCCAATTGTTCTGTCTGAGTTAATTGCAGTAATTACTTCCTCCAAACCATCAACATGTCTTTTAGAGCCCATTGCTACAAGACTGCTCTAAGAAGTCCCACAATTAATTACTCCAACCAGTCTCTAATAATTAGATATGTACCACAGGCCTTCAAGCTGGCAGTAGTTCAACTGGAACTTATAAGGCCATCTTATGAGGCCATCTCTTGGCCCAGCAGTCTTAGCTAATTATAGGCCAATCTCCAACCTTGCTTTTCTCAGAAATTCTTGAGAAAGTAGTTATAAAACAGCTAACAGATCATCTGCAGAGGGCTGACCTATTTGAAGAGTTTAAGTCAGGTTTCAGAGCCCATCACAGCACAGAAACAGCTTTAGTGAAGGTTACAAATGTTACAAATCTTCTTCAGTGTTCGATACCATTAGATCCTGTCGACCATAATATTCCATTAGAGTGATTAGAGCATTACAGCAATAGAGTATTACAAGTACTGCACTGCAGTGGTTTGTATCATATCTATCTAATAGACTCTAATTTATACATGTAAATGGAGAGTCCTCTTCACACACTTAGGTTAATTATGGAGTTCCACAGGGTTCCGTTCTAGGACCAATTCTGTTTATATTATACATGCTTCCCCTGGGCAGCATCATCATCACTCTGAATGGCATTACCTTGGCCTCCCGTAACACTGTGAGGAACCTTGGAGTTATTTTTGACCAGGATATGCACCTTCAATTAAACAAATATGTAGAACTGCTTTCTTCCATTTGTACAATCTCACTAAAATTAGAAATATCCTGTCTCAGAATCACGCTGAAAAACTAATTCATGCAATTATTACTTCTAGGCTGGACTACTGTAATTCATTATGATCAGGATGTCATAAAAACTCCCTGAAAAGCCTTCAATTAATCCAAAATAGTGAATACCGTATCACCTAGAGCACTTTGCTCTCGCACTGCAGGCTTGTTGTTCGTAGAGTATTTAAAAGTAGAGGCAGAGCCTTTAGTTTTCAGGCCCCCCTTCTGTGGAACCAGCATCCAGTTTGGATTTGGGAGACAGACACTATCTGTACTTTTAAGATTAGGCTTAAAACTTTCCTTTTTAAAAAGCATATACCGTACTTAGGGCTGGATCAGGTGACCCTGAATCCTCCCTTAGTTATGCTGCAATAGGTCTAGGGTGCTGGGGCATTCCCATGATGCACTGAGTATTTCTTCTTCAGTCACCTTTCTCACTCACTATGTGTTAATAGACCTCTCTGCATTGAAACATACTTGTTATTAATCTCTTCCACAGCATGTCTTTTGTTCTGTCTTCCTTCTCTCACCCCAGCCGCTTGCGGCAGATGGCCGCCTCTCCCTGAGGCTGGTTCTGCTGGAGGTTTCTTCCTGTTAATTCAATTCAATTCAATTTAATTTATATAGCGCCAAATAACAACAAAAGTCGCCTCAAGGCGCTTCATAAAAAGGGAGATGTTCCTCCCCACTGTCACCAAGGTGCTTCCTCATAGTGGGTCATATGATTGTTGATGTTTTTTTTGTCTGTATGTATTATTCTAGGGTCTACCTTACAATATAAAGTGCCTTGAGGTGACTGTTGTTGTGAATTGGTGCTGTATAAATAAATTGAATTGAAAATGGAAAATTTAATTTGTCCCTGGGGCATTCTAAGTGTAGAATGTAAAAAAGAATTTACACAATTGTATGATGAGCTTCCCATGACAAAATGTGACAAAATGTTAGGGGGAAAACACTTTCTGAGAGTACTGTATGACTTATCTAAAAGAAAAGTCTAAAAAAAAACCCCAAAACAAAACAAAAAACACTACAGTCTGGCATCAGCTAGTTGAGTTATTCATCTTGTTCCTGCAAAAGACAGCTCATGATATAAATCACTGGATTTGGTCATTATAATTAAAAATAGCAGTCACCAGATGATGGTTAGGGAGGGTGGATTGTTATCATGTCCTCATACATGCAGACAGGCGATAAATGTGGGGATTAGGTGTCTTTGTAATGTTGTAGGGGTTTAATTCTGATTCTATGTATTTATATGTATGTATGTATTAGTTTGCATACAATTTTATGTGTTTCATTCGACATTTGTCCACACTAGACTCTGTTCAGGGAGGTTGCTGTGGTCTGCTAGTAGATCCACTAGCCACCAAGCATTACTGTTCTGTCCTGCTTCCTTCTCCCTTATGCTCTTCCAGTATTGCCCAGTCTGGTCGAGTCTGAGATGCTGTTCTCATATTGTTCCCCTGCCACTCAGAGTACAGCTTCGATGGTTCTGTGGAGAACAGCCGATTTATTCTCCTGCCTTCTATTTGACTGCATGTTGGCTGTTCACAGCAAAATCTTCCAAATACAAGCACCACACCTCCAATCAACTCAACTTTTTTTTTCCTTTTTCAGGCACAGTTTCTGTAGATATTTTTCTGTGCTATTTTATCATCTATCTGAAGAAGCTTTGTGCTGCACTTTAAGTCTACACCTTTTAGACCTTACAACTTTTTGCGAGTTCATCTCATTATTCTTGCTTTTCTGCTTGCTTTTTTAGCAGTTCTTTATATTTCTGTATAAGTCACCATCAAGTGTGGGATCTACCAAGGAGATGCACTGTCCCCACTACTGTTCTGCAAAGGCCTGAGCCCCCTCAGTGATATCATCAAAAAGACTGTCTACTTTGGAATGGAGCAGTCATCAGCCATGTTCTCTACATGGATGACATCAAGCTGTATGCCAAGAGTGAATGAGACAATCGATTTATTGAGCCACACCACCAGGATATACAGCAGTGACATCGGAATGACTATTCAGATTGGAGAAGTGTAGTTGGATGATACCAAAGAGAGGGAAAAACTGAGGGGGCTTGAACTACCAAAAGGCAACATTGCAGACATTGAGGACAGCTACAAGTACCTGGGAATCCCACAGGCAAATGGGAACGACGAGGAGCCCGCTAGGAAAGCTGCAACCACCAAGTACCTGAAGAGGGTCAGGTAAGTCTTGAGGAGTCAGCTGAACGGTAAGAATAAGGGCTATCAACACCTACACCCTGCCCATGGCCAGGTACCCTGCTGGCATAATAAGCTGGTCAAAGGAGGAGATAGAAGCCACTGAAATCAAGACAAAGAAGCTCCTGGCCATACATGAAGGGTTTCACCCCAAGTCCAGCATCCTGAGGCTGTATGGTAAGCACAAGGAAGGAAGCCGGGGACTAGTGAGTGTCAGCACCACAGTCCAGGATGAGACAACAAACATCCAT